ACAATCATGCATGTGCCTGTTGAGGACCAGAAGAGGTAGGTGGTTAGATCCCTGGAACTAAAAGGACAGGTGATTGTAAGTCATCTGACTTACATGCTGGGAAACAAAGTGAAGCTCTCAGGAAGTGTAGCCAATGCTTTCCATCATGGATCAATTTCTCCAGACTGCAAATAATTTCCCTATATGCTTGTTACTGTTGGAAAGTTCATTGTTTGCCTGAGGTTTCCAGGCAACAGGAATGACAAGAAAGAAAATCATGCCATCATTATTAAGCAAATATATCTTTGTAAATTTTATTTTTTTTACATATTTTATGTGTGTATATTTGTGCATTTAGGTGCACCAAGGTACTTGTAAGAGCCAGCAGACTTCAGTTGTGGCATTGAATGTTTTGGACCTGGAATCACAGACAACATATGTGCTTGCAACTCTCTGCAAAAAGAGTAAGCACTCACAACTGCTGAGTCAACCTTCCAACTCCTTTTTAAAAGTCTAATAATGACCACACTTCCCCTTCCCTTTTCTCCCTCCAACCCTTGCCATGTACCAACAATAAGTTCTGGAATTGATGGCATGCTTGACTTATTATTGAAACATATGTTTTATAACTGCATAAATGCATTTTTGTTGTTTGGGTGGGTATAATTTTAGGTTTGATTGCTGTGTACTGGATAACCAATCAGAGGGCTCAGACCTAGGAGATACCACTTCTCTTTCATTAGTTGCCTGTATTTTGTCTAGGAGTGGTAGCCCAATGAAATATCCTTTCCTGTCTGTTGGTATTGTCATTGTTCTTGTTTTGGCAACCATATTGTTGAGGCATTATAGGTGTAGGCTCTGTTATTTCTAAGAGACATGGTCTCACCTAAGACAACCTCATAGTTTGGTTCTGTAGCTAGAGTTTTCCTGCCTGACCCACAGTCAGGACAAATCTCTCTCACCTGCCAGTCCCACAGCCGCTCAGACCCGACCAAGTAAACACAGGGACTTATATTGGTTACAAACTGTATGGCCGTCGCAGGCTTCTTGCTAACTGTTCTTACAGCTTAAATTATTCCATTTCCGGGGCTGGAGAGATGGCTCAAAGGTTAAGAGCACTGACTGCTCTTCCAGAGGTCCTGAGTTCAATCCCCAGCAACCACATGGTGGCTCACAACCATCTGTAATGAGATCTGGTGTCCTCTTCTGGCCTGCAGTCACATATGCTGTATACATAATGAATAAATAAATCTTTAAAAAAATTATTCCATTTCCATTAATCTATACCTTGCCACATGGCTCGTGGCTTACCGGTGTCTTCACATGCTGTTTGTCATCGTGGCGGCTGGCAGTGTCTCTCTGACTCAGCCTTCTACTTCCCAGCTTTATTCTCCTCCTTGTCCTGCCTATACTTCCTGCCTGGCCACTGGCCAATCAGTGATTTATTTATTGACCAATCAGCAACACACTTGACATACAGACCATCCCACAGCATGGTTCTTAGAAACTTTTCACTCCTTTGAAGATGTTCAATGAGCAGCAGGTGCATGAGTTGTGTATAGATGTATTAAGTGGGCCTGAGATCCTGACCATTATGAAAAGTTGTGGTTTTCTGGAATTGTTTGCACTGAAGAGTTTATTTAAATAAATGTATGGACTATACTTCTCTGTGAGTATAAAAATGAGTTGTATGCCAAGGGCCGTGTCTGGGTCCATGGCCCTGCCACAACCATGGTTTGTGTTTCCTTGACTTGTTACCAATCAAGGCCATGGGGATAGTGCTACACTAGGGAGAGCTGGCTCTACCCCTCTTCCCAGTTACAAGCAGCAAAACTGTGCCTGGGGTCAGGAGAATGGGAGAGCTGCTCTTGTCCCTCGCCAGCTACAGCACTTGGGAGAGTGGGCCCTGCATCATGCCTGGGCAGCATAGTTGAGCTAATCCTGTTTGAATGGGTGCAAGTGAGCCAGCCCTGAGGGTGTGAGAATGGGAGAGTTGGCCTCACCCTTCATCTGCCATGTGGTAGCATGGGTAGAGAAATGAAACCCCATTGCCCCTTGCCATGTGATGCAAGTGGAAATGCTGACCCAGTAGTCAGGAGTGAGGGAGCAAGCCATTCCCCTCACCAGCAGCATCCCTCAGAACACCTCACCTGGGCAACATAGTAGAGCTGAGCTTGTTAGCATGGGCATGCCAGCTCCAAGGGTATGAGAGTGGGAAAGATAGCCCCTCATCTGCCAGATGGTGATGTGGGCAAGGGAAAGATGCCCTCCCCCACCTCTTGCCACCTGTGAAAGCTGGCCCCAGGGTCATGGGAACGCTTGACTTGCGCTGTATCAGCTGCAAGAGTGATCACCTGTGAGAGCAGGCCCCACAACTCACCAGGGCAACACAGTAGAGTTGGCTGTGGTGGTGTGCATGCAAGTGAGCTGGTCCCTGAGGGAATGAAAGCAGACCTGTCCCTGCCCCTTGCTGCCTGCTGCACTGGATGAGGTAGCCAGGGCAATGCTGGAGAGTTCACCCTGGAAAGGATGAGGGAGAGGTGGTGGGCTGACCAATCCAGCCAGCTACCACCCAGGCCCAGGCCCAGGCCCATGGATGAATTGGCCAACTGCAACACCCACCCCATCTATGAACCACTCAACATATGAAGGGATCAGTAATATAGCTCTAAAGCTGTAGGATCACCATGCAACAGGGCAACAGGATAGCCAAGAAGAGTCCTAGTGAGGGCCCAGCACTGGTAGTGTAGGAAAAGCAAGGGCATCAAGTCAGACCAATGCCTCATTGCAATAAACACTTGTAAGCAAAGATGTATGGACTAAAAGGGTATACGGCGTGACTCACTGGGCCACACTGCAGCTTCCACAATGAGATTCTATTTTTTTTTAAACATTTATTTATTTATTATGTATACAGCATGTATGACTGCAGGCCAGAAGAGGGCACCAGATCTCTCATTACAGATGGTTTTGAGCCACCATGTGGTTGCTGGGAATTGAACTCAGGACCTCTGGAAGAATAGTCGGTGCTCTTAACCTCTGAGCCAACTCTCCAGCCCTATTTTTTCTTTTCTTTTAAATTGTATTTTATTTTATTTTGGGGGGAGGTTGCAAGGGATGGGGAGATCAATTGGATCAGGATGCATGATGAGAAATCCACAGTCAATAAAAATTTAAATTAAAAAAAATGAGTTCTGTGACTCGGGAATGATGTTAACTTAGTAAAAAGGCAGATGTAGGTTCCCTGAATTCCATGACATATTCTGGTTGGTTGATCAGGTTACAGCCATAATTTCTTACCTGTTGAGTAGATCTTAAACATAATTATACAGTAGCTGATTACCCACAAGATATGGAAGCCACTACTGCACCTTTACTGATATCTTGCCATCATGATCACTGTTTTGGTTCACAGGGTTCTTAGTCATTTTCCTATTGCTGTTCAGAGACTTACTTGGTGATCAACGCAATTTATGAAAGAAAACATGTAATGGCACTTTCAGAAGTTAAGAGTCCATGACTATCAAGGCAGGAAACATAACAGTAGGCAAACAAGCATAGTCCTGGGCAGTAACTAAGAGCTTCCATCATGATATGAAAGTTCAAAGCAGAAATGGGGCTAATTTAAAACAGTAAGTGCATGGAAACCTCAAAGTCATCCCAGTGCCACACCCTCTCCAACCAGGCCATATCATCTTATCCTTCTCAGCAGTTTCACCAACTGGTAAGTCAGACCCAAAGATAAATGTCATTTATCATTTCTCATCTGCAATTCCTAGCTCCATGTCTTCAGATGTGAAAATATAACCTAGAGTAATCAGAAAAGCCACATCTTACCTTCCTAATAAAGGCATAATGAAATGTAAAACTCCTGTGTAGGAATGGGCCAATAATAAAAATGCTCAGAATTTGACTGTGCTTCTTTCAAGCTGTTTATTTCTAAAATATTCTGGACTAACTTCCACAAAGTATTTCTGATGTAAGATTTAACTATATAAAAAAGTTACAAAAATTTTATATCATTTAAAAGGAAACAAAGTCATTTCATAATTTTACAATAATTTCTTTTGACTGAATTTGGTTTTTGTTAAAGCTCCAAGTTGGATGTCAGAACTTCTTTTCTATACCTGTGACCAATCAAATATTAATGTGATTTTAAAAGGAAATGTTACATTGGCCTTGCAGTTACAGAGGGTTAGTGTCCACAATGGCATAGCAAAGGCATGGTGGCAGGAACAGCTGTGAGCTCACATCTTAATCCATAGTCAGGAGGCAGGGAGAAAACACTGGGAGTTTCAGTTTCTTTTGAAACTTCAAAACTTTCCTACAGTAAAAGATATTCTGCAACACACCATACCTCCTAATCATGCTCAAAGAGTTCCATGAATTGAGAACAAAGTATCAAAATTTATGAGCCTACAGGGCCCATTCTCACTCGGACCACTACTACACTTGTATTCAAAGCCTAGGGGTATATATATATATATATATATATATATATATATATATATATATATATATATATATATATAAAACCTCATATTATTACATACACTGCAAGTGGCTTTCCTCCTATATATACTAAAATATTGAGTTAAAATTGGTTTTAAAGGGTCTCACAATCTGTTTCTTTCCACATTTAAAACATTGTATTTGTTAGTCTCTCTCTCTCTCTCTCTCTCTCTCTCTCCCCATTTGGAAATGTGCATGCAATTGTCAAAACACAGCTTTCATAATTGGTTCTCTACTTCCACCACATATGACCCAAGGAGGTAACTAAGATAATCAGCTTTTCTGGAAAGAACTATTCCTAGTTGATGCATCTCATGGTCCAACCACATTCTTCTTTCATGTTTCACAATAGAAGCAATTTGACCAACTCAGTGTCACAGAGTTAATACTGGAACAAGTTCTACCCAGTGTACTCCTTTTCACTCCGATACTGCATAGGTTTGTGAAAGGATATGAAACACAGAAATGAAGGCACACACTCATCACAAGGAAGAGGCTTCTAAACTCTATGAATTATTTCCCACATTTATTACAAAGTTTTTCACCACTGTGAAACTGTTTCATGACTACAGTAGAAACTTACTGCTAAAGGCTTTTCCACATGCTTACACGTGTACAGTTTCACTCCAGGGTGAATTCTTTATGAATGTTGCAGCAAATGGAACTGATGAAAGCTTTTGTAAGATGATTACATGCACAAGGCTTCTCCCCAGTGTAAGCTGCTCCATGTATGCTACAGAAACTGGAAGCATTAAAGGCCTCTCATAATGGTGACATTAATAATGTTCCTCCCCACTGTGAGATCTTTTGTGCTTGATAAAATGAGAGCAAAGAAACATTTTCCCATGGTTTTTCTCCAGTGTGAATATTTTCATGACTCCTATGGCAAGTGGAATTTGTGAAGGCTTTGCCCCAATGTATTAATTATATACTATTTTCTAGTGTGACAGCTTTCATGATTCTTATGACAAGTACAGCTGAAGGTTTTTCCACAATGCTTGCATGCATAAAGCTTCTCTCCAGTATGAATTCTTTCATGAATGTAAGATCATCAGACTGAAGAGTTTCCCCACACATAAAGGCTTTCTCTCCAGTCTTCCTTCAGAAGTATTACACCAACTGAAATTGACAAAGGTATTTCCACAATGCTTACATGCTTAAGGCTTCTCTCCAGTATGACTTCTTTCATGAATATTACGATAACTGGAGCGGGTAAAGAATTTTCCACAATGCTTGCATGCATAAGGCTTCTCTCCAGTGTGACTTCTTTTGTGAGTATTAAGCGAACTCAAAATGGTAAATGTCTTGCCACAATGCTTACATGCATATGGCTTCTCTCCAGTGTGAGATCTTTCATGAATTTTACAGGTAGTGGAAGTGACAAAGGTTTTCCCACAATGCTTACATGCATGAAGCTTCTCTCCACTGTGAATTCTTTCATGAATGTTACGGTAAGTAGACCTGGTGAAGGTTTTCCCACATTGTTTGCAGGCATAAGGCTTTTCTCCAGTGTGAGATCTTTCATGAATGTTACGATTATGAGAACTAGGAAAGGCTTTTCCACAATGCTTACACCTATAAGGCATCTCTCCAGTGTGAGTTCTTTCATGAGTGTTACGGTAAGTGGACCTGGTGAAGGTTTTCCCACAATGCTTGCAAGCATAAAGCTTCTTTCTAGTGTGAGTTCTTTCATGAATGTTACGGCAAGTGGAACTAGTGAAAGTTTTCCCACATTGCTTACAGGCATAAGGCTTCTCTCCAGTGTGAGATCTTTCATGAATGTTACAAGTATAAGAAGTAGGGAAGGCTTTTCCACAATGCTTACATGTATAAGGCTTCTCTCCAGTGTGAGTTCTCTCATGAGCGTTACGGTGAGTGGACCTGGTGAAGGTTTTCCCACAAAGCTTACATGCATAAAGCTTCTTTCTAGTGTGAGTTCTTTCATGAGTAGCACAGAGCTTTGAACTGGTGAAAGCCTTTCTACAATGCTTACATGTAAAATGAGGCTTCTTTAAATTGTGACTTCTTTCATGAGTCTTACGCCACCTGGAACTGGTAAAGGTTTTTCCACAAAGCTTACATGCATACGGTTTTTCTCCTGTGTGAATTCTCTCATGGCTGGTAAGATGATGAGAGAGAAGGAACATTTTCCCACATGTTTTACAAACAAAGGATTTCTCCCCAGTGTGAATTCTTTCATGACAGTTACGAGAACTAGATCCAAAGAAGGTTTTTCCACAATACTTACATGCATAAGGCTTCTCTCCGGTGTGACCCTTTTCATGAACATTTCGCCAATTAGAACTGGTGAAGGCTTTTCCACAATGCTTACATACATAAGCCTTCCCAGCAGTGTGAACTCTTTCATGAGCATTACGAGAACTCAAAATGGCAAAGGGTTTATCACAATATTTACATGTGTAAGGTTTTTCTCCAGTGTGAATTCTTTCGTGAATTTTAAAATAAGAGGGACTAGTGAAGTTTTTTCCACAATGCTTACAGGTATAAAGCTTCTCTCCGGTGTGAATACTTTCATGAATGTTACGACCATAGGCGCGGGTAAAGCCTTTTCCACAATACTTACATGCATAAAGCTTCTCTCCTCTATGACTTACTTTATGTTTCTCAAAACATGAAGCATATTTAAATGTTTTCCCACAGAGCTTACAAATGTAATTTTTGTTTCCAGTATGACTTTTGTGGTGGTTGATGAGGTCACTGGAATCAGTGAAAGCTTCTTTGCAATGCTTACACACAAATGGTTTCACTCCTGTATGGATCCCTTTATCTTTCTGGCCATATTTGTATCTCTTTAAGACTCCCACACGGAACTTATCTTTGGTTTGAGTTCTCTCTTGACGTTTATCAGAAGTGAGACTCCTACAGGCTTCATTACATTGTTGGTTTTTATGGGATTTCTCTGTAGAAGTTTCAAGTACCTGAAGTGACTCAGAATGAATGATATCTTTCCAATGTTTCTCATGTTTGAAAGCCTTTGCCACAGCTTTCATATATTCAGGCTGTTTCACTCTAGTTTGGTCTCTTGGACATACATGTGAGGATGAATGACCAATGATGTTTCTTACATTTGCTTGGCTTTCACAAATTCTTATTGCAGAAGGCATGTCTTTATTTTCTGAAATTGGTTCCTGGATTTCATCACACTGACTATCACACTCATATCCACAGTCTTTCTCAACCACCTGAGTTCTGCAAAAAAAAAAAGAGAGAAGACCATTACTGTAAACGAGGGAAATATTGAAGGCCAGATCGTCTGATTCACTACAACTATACTATTCCACAGGCAAGAAAAAAATGCCTCCAATGTTAAAGACAGTATATAGACCGCATGTAAAGACCCTCTCCTGTAAATAAGTATAGTGTTGACTTTACTTCTATAAGAACTACAAAGGAAGCTGGGGGGAGGAGGCACACCTTTAATCCCAGCACTCAGGAGGCAGAGGCAGGTGGATCTCTGTGAGTTCGAGGCCAGCCTGGTCTACAAAGTCAGTTCCAGGACAAGCTCCAAAAGCTACAGAGAGAAACCTTGTCTTTAAAAAAAAAAGAATTACAAAGGAACTAAAGGCTCAGAGGTTAAGAACAACACTTGCTCTTCCAGCTAACTGCAGTTTGTTTACCAGCTGACATGTGGAGGGCTGACAAGTTCTTGATACTCTTGATCTGAAGGATCTGTTGTCATTTTCTGACCTCCACAAATCTTTTTTTGCACAGGTCATATACACAAGCACACATACATATACTTAAATAATCAATGGACATAAAAGGAGTGAACATTCAGGCAAAGGTCCTGGCATTGTGAAGCAATCATAATAATGACTTAGAGTTGTATAACACTATGGCATTTTGGCATTCTATATACTCTACCTGTGTTGGTTAGTTTATTATTAACTAGACCCAAGCCAGGGTCATCTAAGAATAGGGAACCTCAATTGAGAAAATGACTTCATTAGATGGGCCTATAATCAAGTCTATGGGAGCATTTGTTCATTCTTGATTGATGAGAGAGGGCTTACACCATGTTGTGTGGTGTGTCCCTAGGAAGGAAGGCTTGAGCTATGTAGGAAAGATACCTTAATAATCCGCGAGGAGCAAGCTAGTGAGCAGCATTTCTCCATGGTCTCCAATTCAGTTCTGGCTTACAGATTCCTACCTACTTTAAATTCCTATCCTGTTTTCCCTTGCTGGACTGTAATGTGGAAGTGTAAACCAAAATAAGTCCCATTAACCCCAAAGATGACATTAGTCATTGTGTTTATCACAAGAACAAAAAGCACTCTAAAATACAAGTTGAGTCCCAGGTTCATGGGGTATTTTTCTGACAGAGCTGAGCTTACCACTGTACAAAGGACTATGAGAATGTCTGGAACACTGGGCTGGAAAAAAATCAGTGAATGTAGTTCAGAGGTTAATGAGCATTTGCAGGGGCTTAGAGGATAGGGATACTAAGAACAATGAAAAAGATGGAAGTCTGGCTTGTATAGATTCAGAGATGATAGAGGGCACATCAAATACTCTAATGGGGCAGTTTTTATAATGTTTTAAATTAAGAATCTGTGATTCCCTATCACCTGGGCTTGAAGAATGACCTGGTATTAACAAGAAAACAGCATCATTTAAGAAAAATCTTTGGGGATTTCAGTCAGCACACAGACTTGGAGTCCACAGGGTGCCAAGCTGCACATGAAGATGGCTGCAGCACACAGACATGTAGTCCAGATCTCAAGCTGGCTGAGATTATAATAGTTTATGAGCAATTTCCAGGCGGCACTGGTTTTTGCATCCTGAGACCTGCTGGATTGAAGGGGTTTTGGAAAGAAACTGAGGTCTAACACTAACAAAGGCCAGGAGAGGCCATTACTGAAGGTGCTGATTTGGACAAAGTGGAAACACCAGGATAGAAGAGCTTTGGGAGAAGCTGATGTATGGCACCATGTCATAGGGTTGGAGTCCCTGAAGAGTGGCCAGGAAGCCATTGGTGAAGGTTTAATGTGGGGAGCTTCTGGTGTATTAGAAAGGCCAGTACCAAGGGAAGATTGCCAAGGACTGAGCAGCTGTGCAATGAAGTCAGTCTGAAACCATAAGACAAGTGCATGGCAGAACCAAAAGGGTGGATCATGCAAAACACTCAGGACATCAGGAGATTGTGAACCAATTCCAAATATGGGATATGGATCTGGCGGATGACTGACACTATAGAATTTTGGTTTTGCATTGATCTGACTAGAAGTAAGCCCAGGTTCTTCTTACTTTGAAAATAGAAGCACAAACTTACTAATAATTTTTCAGGAGCTCACAGTAGAGTTTCTCACCTTTTGAGATTTTAAAGAGATCCAGGTATTTTAAAGTGACTAGCCAGTTAAACTGTTAGAGTCTTTTTAACACTGGGAGACTTCAAATGTCATATTCTACTTTATATTGTGATATCAAGAGTATTTAGGGACAAACATTCCATGAAAGAATAGAGATTATTAGTCATGTATTTGTGTGTCACATGATCAGTTGTGCTGGTTCGCATTTCACAACTTGACACAAGATAGAAAGCACTTCTGAGAAGAGGGAACTTCAACTGGAAAACAGCTCTATCAGACTGACTTTTAGGCAAGTATGTGGGGATATTTTCTTAATGAATTATTGATAAGGAGTGGCCCAGCCCACTGTGAGTGGTGTTCCCCTAGAGATGTGGGCCAGGGTTGAATCAGGCAGGTAGCTGAGAAAGGGGTGAAGAGCACACCAGTAAACAGCATTTCTCTATCACCTCTGCTTCAGTTCCTGCCTCTAGGTTCCTGCCAGGCTTAAGTTCCTGCTCTGGCTTCCCTTTATGATGGGACTGTGACAAGGAAGAGTAAATAAAAATGAGCTCCACCCCAGAGTTGGTTTTGGTCACAGCAAAAGAAAGCAAACAAAACACAGCACTTATGTTCCAAGTCTCAAAAGAATATATAGAAAGATAGTAAATACTTTTGGATATGAAAGGAAGTTTTTGCTTCATAAACCACTGGAAAAGCTCTTTCAGAACTTGATGAGGCATCACATGTTGGTGATATTTATAGATTGCACAGATGAGATACTCAAGTATTAAATGATATAATTCAATGCTCCATTATAGGAATCTGTGTGAAATCAATTTGCATTTAGATATATTTGGATTATATATGTAGGACCTCAGTTGTCCTACCACTCCCAATTGTTTGATGAAAATTCCTTTCTATTGAACATAAATTACCCCAGATTTCTGCAGAGATCTTTGTAGTCCTCTTCAATATTTTCTTCTAGTGTTTTCTCTAGAAATAAACCCAAAGAATTCATTATGACATATTCAAGATTTTTAAAAAATTATTACTATCTAGCTCTTATGAGATGGGCATGCACACTAAAGTCACCACATGTTCCATTCAGTTATTCAAATCACACCACTACACACAAAAGCAGGAAATAGTTGTTCTCTGAGTGAATATGCAACAGGAGCATGCTTGTTTTTACCTATGAAAGTCAGGTTCAAAAATGTCTCTTTCATCACATCTCTGTAGAGCTTCTTTTGACTGGAATCCAACAAAGCCCACTCGCCTGAGGTGAACTTCACAGTCACATCCTCAAAGGTCACTGGCTCCTAAAACAGTGCACATAATGGATTGGTTACTTTTAACACCCAGGCAGAAGGAAACTTAATCATCTAAGGCGGATGTTTCTGAAGACACCTCGATGTGATTATGTAGATAAAGGTATTATCTGCTGCAGGCCGCAGGAATATATCATAAGAACTCAGCTGGTTATGGCAAAGTCACTACCTGGAGGAATCAGGGAATTCCTCCAGAGGAAGCCAAATCCCAAGGAGTTTTTGGTGTTACTTGGCTTGTTATATATCAGCTGTCTTCTGTTATGAAAATCATGTGTGCCTTCATAGTTTTCCCAATTGACTTTTCCCTAAGAAGGGCTAACAGTGTGGACTGATCACTCTCCAGACATACACATTCCAGGTATTTGGAGAACAGCCTCAGGGAAGGCTTTCTCTGGAATCAGATATCTCCCTTGGCCACTTTCAAGGACTAGCAGTAATAACAGTCCACATGCAAGTCTCCTGATTTAAGGTAAATTCCACAAGGAGACACCACCTAGGTCAGGTGGACATTAAGTAATAGCTTTACACAATTCAGCTCAGACCCCCCTTTCTTACAGCCTTGCTAACTTTATAGACCGCTAACTCCTTACCTAACCACTTCTAGGAATATTTAGATAACCTCCTGTACTGACAGCTATGCTCAGCCAGAACCCCAGTTCAAGCCTCCCTGTAATTATCATCATTAGCAACATCCGGCCAGGTCCATCCCCAGATGGAGGAGAGTACTTTATCAGAGATACCTCTGTATTCTCTAAGAACAGACTTAACCATCCAGGCTACCTGTTTGAGAAGGCCTGGCGGATGTGCCAATTAAGCGTTACTTCCTCCTTTCCCAAACCTTACCTCCAGTTCCAGATCTCCCTTTAACTATCACCAGAGGCATCCAGCTGTACACAGGTTGCCTAGCGACTGAGCACACTTTCCCCCACCCTGCAGAAAAATGGCAGATAGCTTGGACAGATAGGAGCCACAGGAAAAAAGAAGACAGTTTTACTTTCTCCCATTGACCTAGCAACTTATAGATTCTTAACATTTTCTACCAATCATGTTTAAGATTATAGTTGAGCACATAAGAGCCCTCTTCATAGATATTACCTGAATTCAGCCTTTAGTTAATTCATTTCCCCATTGGTCACTTCCCTTTGGGGTTGCAAATGATAATTAACGGTTATTGCCTCCCTATGTGGTTCTTATCACCCTTCCATTTGACCCTGGAAGCCTGGCTTTATATACCAGGATGCTGTGGAATGTTCTGTATGGCAAATGTGTTGCTAATTAGTTAATAAATAAAACACTGATTGGCCATTGGCTAGGCAGGAAGTGTAGGTGGGACAAGGAGGAGAATAAAGCTGGGAAGTGGAAGGCTGAGTCAGAGAGACACTGCCAGCCGCCACGATGAGAAACAGCATGTGAAGATGCCGGTAAGCCACGAGCCATGTGGCAAGGTATAGATTAATGGAAATGGATTAATTTAAGCTGTAAGAACAGTTAGCAAGAAGCCTGCCACGGCCATACAGTTTGTAACCAATATAAGTTTCTGTGTTTACTTGGTTGGGTCTGAGTGGGTGTGGGACTGGCGGGTGACAGAGATTTGTCCTGACTGTGGGCCAGGCAGGAAAACTCCAACTACACCAGGACTTCCAGGGCATGAGGGGTCGGAGAAGAGAAAAGAGAATGGAAGAACTAGACGGGTAAGAACTTGAGAGGAACAGACTGAGATGGGGAAGAACTAGATTGAAGGGCTAGAAGAGAGGACTAGAGGAATGAGATGGAAGATGAGGATGAGCCAGATGGGGAACAACAAGATGAGGAAGAACGAGATGAGGAGAGAGAAAGAGATGCGAGAAAAGATGATATGGGAAGGAACAAGATGGATGAGAACCTAGAAAGGGCAGAACAAGATGATGGAATTAAGATAGAACCCAGAGGGGACCGCGGACAAGTGTAGAGAGAAATCAGGCAAGAAAAGACCTAAACATGAGAGCAGAATATAAGCTTGTAACTGACACAGAATAATAAAGTATATGGACAAAGGAGTTTTGTGTACATAGATTCATTTCTCCTCATCAAAGATTAATTATCAGCTGGTTGTAGATTCTTCCTGGACCCTGGGAGGGGACTATCGAGGGGCTGGACCGCCTTAGTCCCCGATAATTATCTACATAAGAATATTGTGGTCTGCTCCTTTGAGTTCTTATTAGAAGAAAGGAAGATGCACAGTCAGTTACTGCTCTACTGCTGTGAAGAGATACCAGGATAAAGCAACTATTAGAAAAGAAAACATTAAATCGGGCTTGCCTATACTTTTAGAGGATTGGTCAGTGAGAATCATGGCAGGAAGCACACATGCATGAAGCTGGAACAGTAAATGGATATTTTATTCCTGATCCAAAGGCACCAGGCAAAAAGATGTACATGGTGTCTGCCATGGCCTTTTAAAACCTCAAATACCACCCCCATTGGAACACCTCCTACAATAAGACCACAACTCCTAATATTTTTCAAACAGTTAACTGTGGACCAAGCTTTCAAACATACGATCCTATGGGGGTCAGTCACATTCAAAATAACGCACACACCTACCTGAGAGGCAGCATTTTATAAACGATGGAGGCATTACATCAGTGGAAGGAGGGAGCTGAGACACAGACAACTATACGTCACTCAATTCCTGATTGTGTGGGATCTGACCAGCCACTTCAAAGTGCTACATTTTATGGACTGTACCCTTCAATTGTGAAATAAAATAAATTCTTTCTGCTTTACGTCACTTTTCTCAGTGACATTTATGACAGCCAGATGAAAAGCCTAATACAAGAAATAGAAAAGAAAAAGTGGGGACATTGGTATAAGTAGATCGGACCAGGTTCTCTGTTCCATTTAGAATTTGTTTTGGGAGGAATTGGCAAGAGATTTTTCTTTAGAAAGGACCAAAGCTAGAGCACACTGAAAGCTGAGCTTAAAGAATCATTCTGATGGAGCTTCAAAGACAAAAATGCTGAAAGAAATGTTCACAGAGCTGAGAGTTCTACATCTTGATCTGTAGGCAACAGGAAATGAACTGTGTACCACACTGAGCATAGCTTGAGCAAAGGAGACCTAAAAGCCTACACCCACAATGAAAGATTTCCTCTAACAAAGCCACACATACTGCAAAAACGCCACACCTCCTAATAGTGCCATTCCCTTTGGGGGCCATTTTCTTTGAAGTCACCAGAATATGTAAGTAGAGTGGTCAAAACACTAGGAATTGAAAGGATAAAACAAGCACTGGAAAGGAAGAGAGGAGGAGGTTGGAATAGCAAGGCTCCTGATTATGCTCAGTTACAGAGTGATTTACAGGCCTACCTAGAGGCACACAAGTGACCCTGACTCAAAAGAAAAGGAAAAAGAAAAAAAAAAGTCAGGGGTGTTGGTGCAAGCCTTTACTCCAGAATGCATAAGGCAAAGGAGGGTGTTCTCTGAGTCCAAGGCTAGTATGGTAAACACAGGGAGTTCCAGGGCTACAGAGAAACTCTGCCACCAAAGACAAAACAGCAAAACAAACAATGCTAAATTAAATATTAATTATAAATTAAAATGAAAATCAAAGCAATGACACATACAAGAGTAATAAATATATTATCAATGTACTGCACAATCAAGGCAAATTTCAAATAACCTATCTCCAGCAGGTAGAAAGCAAACTTGTCTTTCTCTCTTATCAACTTTCCTAAGCATTCCCAATGGTCAGCAATTACACTACCTACAAAACCAACTATCTGAAGGCAAAAACAAAGAGATAAATTGTTAATATTTTGGGGTTCTTTTTTTGTTTTTGTTTTTGCAAGGACTAGAATCCTGGAAATTTACTGGTTACAAATTCACACTCCCAATCCCTTCTGTTTAAAGCAGCCTACAGCAAAACAAGCAACAGCAACAGAAATATGATTTCAGTTTCATAGAGATCTTTTCAAAATCCGCCAGCCCTTTTCACTTTCAGTAAAGTTGAACATAGCTTTCAAAATTCCAATTTTAAACTCAAAAATGATCACTCCAAGGAAATAAAATATGAAGTAAATTGAATTTTTTCTCTTTCTCCCAACTGGTAATTTTGACCACTGCGGGGGTTGGAGGGACAAGAAAAAATTTTTGCATATAGTTGTTTTGTTTTTGTTTTTAAATAAACATGCAAAAACCCATACTGGATGAGGTGTTAAAGGGTAAAGCCATAGTTCTGTGAGAAAACCCCTAACACTAAGGGGGCACTGGGAAGAATTCTTAGTTAGGGAAAGCAGGTGGGGGAGGGAGGAGAGAGAAAGGAAATCAAAGGTGATTACCGTTAAAAAAACAAAAACTAAATCAGCTCAAAGAGAAGTACAAGAGAAGGAAAACTACACATAACACCGCCTCTCCCTCACATCACAGTCTGGATTCAGCATCACCAACCCACCAGCACGGATGGTCTGTGCAGCACAAGCTCACGGCAAGGACGCACCCAAGGATGTTGTGGACTGCAAAGCAGCAGCTTCGCTGCAACAGAGAAGTTGGGGACTCGGGGTCAAGGCTGCCTGTAGGGTGCACACTTCAAGCACAGGTGGGCCTAGGCATTGCTGGGCCAGACCACCTTCCACTGGACTGTACAGCACCAGGGCAGACTTGGTGGCCCCACAGAGCTCCAAAGCAGCGAGAGTCTGAAACTACTGTTCAGCAGCCCAAGGCTCACTCACCGTTCTGTGCTTCCGATGTGTCTAGGTTTCCTCCCAAAGAGAACTGCACTCTGCAGAACACACGATCGCCCAAAACAGGTCGTCCCAAGAACATCCTCTGCTAAGCAAAGATTTTAAAAGGCCTGGGAAAGGGGAGCACACTGACTAGCCGTGCTCCTTACTGGACAGTTCCTTCCTTTTAGTAATGTTGTCCCTGATTGGCGAACTGTACTCACTCAGCCCAAAAGTATCAAAACATTTTCGGAAAGTTCAAGTGGAAGCCCACAATGTCAGCACTTGTGA